CTCCTCAATTAAGTGAAATCTATTAAGTGTTAGTGATTATTCTCTCAGCAATAAAACGAACCGATCTCATCTTACTATCATTATCATTATTACTATCAACACTCTCACTACAAATCCCCACCAAAATACCCCTATATCACTTCATATTCTCTCAGTCTAATCTCCCAACTTAATCTAACCTTCACGCTTATTATACCCATCATAATTTATACTTCTAACTTTTACTAACTCACCAAAACACTAATAAATAACTGATAACAATAATAATAATGAATAATATCTAAACACACCCAACAATTACTATCACCAACACGAATTATATCTCCACATTATTTATACCCCCGTAAATCTTCACTACCCAACCGTCATATTACAGCACTATATCATAGGTAACTTCAAACTCCTATTGCCCGCAATAAAATTACGTCATAAAGGCATTCGATGCGATATTTATCTGCACATAACAATCATACTAGTAATCATAAACAGTAATATATAACATAAATAGTAATAATAATAANTAAACTTCTGCACGAAATTCCTCAAATCAGTATCGATCAATCAAAATCAGTTCAATTGCAAAATAAAAGTGCAACGTTGAATTCCTTCGGGATTTTCCTACACTCGGATGGATCTCTCCTCACTATACTTTGGGATTTTTCCGTACTTTCAATAATAATACTACAAAAAATAATAACAATATCGATTCCATAAATGAATACTAACACGACTCTAAACCCGACCTCAAGCCCGACCCCGACCCCAGCCCTAAACTCGACCCTCCTATTGTCCTGAACTACTTCCTCCTCTACATTCCACAGAACCAGCAGACCAGGCAGGTATCTCCCCCCTAACCTTCCCGCATCCAAACCTGCCCGTAATTCACACCTTCCCAACTCAACTTCACACCTCTCCATCCCACTTTACACCGCCACTCACCTCAACACCTCAACTCCTCAAATTTCAGCATTCATTACACTCCCCACCAACCACACTAATCCAACCCTCTAATCGCACGTCCGTCACTCATCTGCTAACGTCACCTGACGTTCACGCCATCACCGCAATAACAATAATATATCACTATTAATAATAACAATACTACTATCTACAAAATAGTAAAAGTAATATATCCAAATAAACAGTAATATATCTATTTGTAAGTTACAATTGTAACATTCGCATTCTATTTCCTACAGTCAGTACGGTAATACGATATCGTATTTGCTCAGGCCATACTTCAAGTGCTATCACGAAATTTCGAACAATTCAGATACTTCAAAACAGCTACGAGATTAAGTAATTCAATATAATATAAAATTAACCATATATACGATAAATAAAGTAACATATAATAAATAATACGTATAATATAACACAAAATAATACACTCCAAACCCTGAATTCACTCCTTAATCCCAACCAACTCACCATTTCAATGCATCAAAGGACCAAATCCGAATGCCTCAAACTCATCTACACTAAATAAATAACAATAATAATAATATATAAACCTAAAATATATTCCACTTATGATATAATCTACCATCTCAAGCGTTATACTACATTAAGCGCCAGCAAAGAAACCAATGAAGTCTTTAGCCATTTCCGGAGGCCAAACCTATCCCGTGCTCCTTGCCCTATCAATATATATAATAACATTCAAACAAACTAACTATAAATAAAATACTACTACACAATATTAATGTATATAATAGCAATAAGCCAATATAATAACAATACGAACGCATAATTTCCCACTTCCGAATGCACTCGAAACGACGAACAAATTAAAGTCATTTTGCTGTCAACATTCGGCAAATAATNATGCAATTTCTTCAAATTTTTTGGGCAAGTCTATCGAAATCCCCCTTCACCCCACCAAAAAAGAGTCAAAACTCTCTACTGGTCAAAATGTCAACGCGCGGCCAAGCTTTATCAGATCTAAATTCGGCTTAAGTCTTTACCAAATCAATCACATAGACAGATCAATCACCTCATGAACCAAGCCAGCTATAATACTAAAGTCAACCAGTCCATATACGAATAATACATGTAATCAGCTTACTAATCTCATCTCATATACCTATACTACTGCTCATTCAGATGTGTATTTGACACATTATCCCAATGAATAACTCACCAATCCACGATACGTTATCGTCAACACACCCAAATCCTAATGCATTTTATATGAACCGAACCTTTCAAGCCTTCAATTGCAATCCAACCCAACCAACATAACAATTGTGTCCAACTTAAGCATTAAGCATTCGCCTGACTTAATCTCAATCTCAACCTCAAGCTCAAGCTCAAGCCTAAATCCAATCATGATCTTAAGCTTAAGCTTAAGCTTAATCCCAGATCCGTAAAGTTGACAGTCAGTACTTGATCGCTACGGTAACTAGCCATCGGTTCGATCTGGGTTCGCAACGATACGATTTCGTAAAAGTCAACACAGGCTCGCGCTATTCGATCCCGATTCGCTGCGATTTCGGCAGCTGGGAGGGACCACAATTCACAGAATTATTTCCATATCTCCAGAATTCTTAGAAAAATTCCGAAATTACTCCGGACAGTACGAAATACGTGAATAATCTCCACACTAATTTTCTTCGGCTAACTCTAATGTTAACATTTGACCTTTGTGACCGCAAAATCCATCCATCCACCACCTTATGCAGCAAAATCATCTCATTAAAGCAGCAATCGTATCCATCCGAAAACAAGGTCATTCGGGCCTATTTGCTAAGCATTTCAGCGTATTGTCTCATCTCATCTCATCTCACTCAGTTTATATCCCTTTTATTCGTGCCCTTAACAAAGCGCAGGTGTCAAGATCCTTTATGTACACACCCGAACGCATGCAAAACACACACACGAACACATAAATATAAACAATCTGCAAACATCATCACTAATGTATTATTCCATTGTACTTATTAATAAATTAATACGTCTACTAATATGGCAGATATTCAAACAAATAAACACATAAAATCTTATCATCGTCAGACAGACATAAGACATAAGATCAATCCTCCTCATTAAAAGATCCTCCTCATCCCACGTTATTGTCATCATCTAAATCCTAAACTAATACCCCACAAAACCCCACCTCATCTCGCAGTATCCCCGTACCCGTAGGGCAGGTTGGAATTCCCATTCCTATCTGCGAAGAAGCAAACGGGTGCAAGGAAAGGGCACAATATTCCGACACAACACTTGGCAACCGGCAACCGGGTAACTCCAATCCCGTTCTGGGTAACTGACTGGGTAACCACCACTACTACTTGTAGGTTCGCTTTACAGCCCACCACACCATGAAACCAAAGCAATTTGAAATCAAATCGAATACGCAAAACCAACAGCAGCAATAACACGACGAAACCAATACGAATGAAACTAAACCACTACTGCGTTCAACCAACCAATAATTAAAAGCGAATCGAATCGAATAAAATCAACCGAACAGAATGCAACGCAAAAAGTGAAATGAAGTGAAATAGTAAAATCGAATCAAATAAAATAAACTAAAAGTAACACCCCACGCCACCACTCCACTCCACACCGCACCACAAGCCAAATGACAACCAACTGCACCGAACAACTGCTTTAAAAATAAAACATCACCACATTATATTCATTCGTCTGTCTAGTCCATTGACCAACACACAATAATTTTGCCACCAATTCATCACTTTTGTACACTGCACTGACTCTGTTTCTTTGTACTCTTCATTAGACTCTACTTCTTTGTACTCATACTCATTAGATCTACAATACAAAATGACATTCCATTCGATTCGATTCGCTGTTTATGGGCAAATGACATACGTACGCTTATTGATTGATTGATCGATAGATAGATAGATAGATATGGGCAGATAGTTTCGAAATTAACAACTAAACACGAGTTTGTTCGCATTTTGCAGAGCAAAAAAAAATTGCGCTCGCTTTACTTTTCAAGGGAACATAAAACATAAATTTTTGACTTAAATTAGACGCAATTTCAGAGAGCACAGGGCAGATCATTTTAGACAGCACAGGGCAGATAATTTTTCACTTATCTTAAAGAGACTCTCAGAGCACACAGGGCAGACAGAATGGAAACATTCTAGAATACTAATAATAATAATTCTAAAATAATAATACTTCTAATCCATTACTAGTAATACTAACGCCAAAACAATGCACTCATATGGTCAATTTGATATGGATGGCACTTGTACTTGTACTTAACTCCACAAAAACATCTTATGATAAATTGTAGTTATCAATCTTACTCATAGTCAGTGATTCACTATTTTAGTTCGTTTCACATTTCGCAGTAAACTTCCTTCGCATTGCTTTTCTTAATAATTACAGTGTAAAACTATTTTGCATTACTACTAGTTATTAATCAGTCCATTTATTACTATTATTAATATTACTTATTCCATCTACTCTATCAACATCCCATAACAGGTATGAAATTATAGAAATCATAATAATAATAATAATAATAATAATAATAACGATACGCTACACCAAAATTGGATTCTACAAAGGCATATGAAAACCTTAAGACATTGCTTGATCAAGTGTTCAAGGAGATAGTTTTTAATAAGGACAGAACAATAGTGAATAGAGATACTTTTTAATAAGAATAGACGAACTAATATTAACAACAATAATAATATATGTATTATATCTTCACAATAAATTTAACTAATACGT